CAAAGGCATGGGCTTCAGCCAAGGGCCCCGGAGTGCCCCATCTTTGGCTCAAGCACGCATTCGACGCGACGACGTCCTGGAGAGTGAAGCATCTGGGCGGCAGCAACTTTCCGGTCAAGGTGTATTGGGTTATGACCGTCCACAACGTACGCTTGGGGGATTAGCTGCGGCGGAACGTCCATGCCGCAAACTGGTACGGCAAAGGCATGTAGGGCCTCTCCGAATGGGACGCGTGGGTGGCTGCCGAGCTCGACCACCCGGACAACCCCCCGGTGTTGTTGGCCTGGGCCGGTGTTGGCATGGTCCCCTCTTGGCCGCGTTAAGGTTCTTGGCCCGTGCTCTAGGGCCTCTCCAATGGAAGCGTGGTTGTCCTCGGCCGGACAGCGTGTCCCGGGCTCTCTCTAGCCCGTGGGTGACGGCCGCTCTGTGCGGTCCCGTCCGAGGCGCACGGCTGCTACGCTCGAGGAGGCAGGGAGGCAAGCGTTCCAAAACTATCAAACTACAATCGGCGCTGCCGCCAGGCGCTCTTATATGTGGCGGCCAAAATCATCAAAATCATCATATTCATTAAACGTCTCCATTTTGGCCAAACCCGTTTTCTGGCTAAAGGCCTTGCTACGCTCGGCCCTTATGCCCAAGTCGTTTTGGCCTGCTCCGCTTCGCTCTGCATACAAACTCCACGACTTTGGCGATGGGCCGAGCTCTACTCAGCAAGGCAAAAAACCAACGGGGTGCTACCACATTACCACAGCCAGGGAAGGCTGTATGGGCGACCTTGCTGAGGGGGACAGGGACCTGCCCATGGGGATGCTGGAGCGGGCGAGTCAGGCTTCCTGGTGCATGGTCGCGGCCTCTCGCTGGAAAGCTTACATCACTGCCCAATGGGAAGTGGCAGTGTATGGGCCTAAGAGACCCATCATGTTATGTGGAGTGAGGTTATGGGAATACATGACTCACGTGGGGGAAGCAGAAGTGGTGATGCGGGTCCTAGTGAGGACCACGCGCGGGATGCATGCAAGAGAGCGCAAAACCCAATGAGAGACATTACATAGTGTGCCTTGCACATACTTAACTTGTCGATCAACATACAATTGTGTATAATGAAATATATAATGTACAAATATTACAAGCTCGGACCGCCGCACGCGTTGCGCACGTGGCGTCCTCTGATTAACCCGGCGTCGTGGCTTCGGGTGGTCGTATGGACTATTGCGATGGTTCTCTCAAGGCCTTGAGAAGCAGTTGAATACAAACGAGTTTGAAAATAAGTTGAAAAAGTGCAATAGCAATAAAATCAAATCCCGTGGACTTGATTTTTAATAGCAAGTTAACTACAACAGTCAGTGTGAAAAATAGCTTACCAATGGATGCACAAACTCGTGCACCATTTAGTCGCTTATTTGATGCAGTGATTGTTCCACTAGTTTGTGCATGAATCCGTGCAGCAAATGGGGCTCCAATTGGTGCAACGTGGCACTGAAACGCTGTTTTTTTCCTGTTGTCATTTTTTTTATCCGCACCAGTCTGTCAATGAGCGACCACGATAGCGTGGGCAAGGTGTTGGCGCTGGGAGGGCTGCAAGCGAAGCCCAAGGCGGGACAGCCCAGGCGCTAGATGCTAGCGCCTTGGCTGCCTTGTGGTAGACCGGAGGTTCGACCCCGCTTGATCAGTGCCATGGCAGGCGATCGCCACTGCCAAGCAATCCCAAAAGGCAGGCGATCCTAAGTGCTGACCATCGCCGGTGCTTGGAGCGTTCGCTTGCCCAGAACGAATGGCAAAGGGTGCCAAAATGGCCAGCCTTGGTTGGGCATTTGGTGCCTCTTTGTCGTTGGCTGGTGCGACCAAAATTGGCGAATTGAGGCACAAACTGCAACGAGGGAGTGGGGGGCGGCGATTGAGGCCCCACTACCGACGCTTTGCGGTAACACATTTGGGATTTGCGCTAGGGCGTTGCGTGTTGCACGCTTCCTTTTTGGCTGGTGGAAACGCCGCTCGTGGCCACCGATTGTGGCCAGGCGCCCGTGCCGAGGTTGCCCGTGGATGACTGCAATCGCTGGCCGCGAGGGGCGAAAGTGGCGGTAGTTGAAGGCCACAATCGGCCTCCCACTCCCGTCGCTTTGTGGCCACGCGGTTGGCACTTTCTCCTGTGCCCTGGGCGCCGCGCAATCTCCAACTGACCGCTGGAATCTGGCCTTCGCGAGCACCGATTGCGGCGACCTGCTGGTGCCAATCTAGGCGTCCGCGGGTTGCCATAATAGGCGCCAGCGAGGGCCGAAAGCAGTGGGAGTGGGAGGCGGCGATTGGCCTCCCACTCCCGTCGCTTTGCAACGACGCATTTGCCATTGTCGCCTGCACTTTGGGCACCGGGCGTTGTCCAAGTGACCCATGGTATCTGCCCCTCGTGCCTCCGATTGTTGCCACCCGTGTGTGCCGATCTGGGCATCTGCGAATGGCCACGATCGGTGGCCACGAGGGGCAGAAGCGGTGGGATCGTAGGGGCCTATCGGCCTTCCACTTCTGCAACTTGTGAAGTTACGCTTGTGGTGTTTCTGGAGCTGGTGCTTGTGGCGCTTGCAGCCCAGCACTGGCCACAACCCGGCAGTTTGAGATGGCTGGCCCTGGCAGTGTAGCACATAGCATTGTTCCCGCCGCGGGCCAGCTCGCCGCCATGTTGCAGCCTCTAGTGAGCGTTCTTCTACTGACCTGCAAACCCAGCGACCTTGCGCCATGTTGCAGCGTCTTGTGCGCGGTCTTTGAGTGGTCTCCATAGCAGTCATGGCGCCCGCGTTGCTTTTGCTTTGTCCTTTTTCATGCACAGTCGCAAGTGTTCGCCTGCCATTGTGGGCCATCGGCACCCACGTTTATTGCAGCTGTTGCACCTCGCATCGGCGATGCGCATCCCCACCCATTAAACCCCTCGGGCAGCTTGAGGGGCAGATGCAAATGGCGGGAATGGTTAGACTTGGGGCGAGGATAACTATGGGCGGTTAATTTGGCTAGGCTCACGCACTAACACCTTTTGGCAAGGGAATGTTTCCTCATTTCTTGGGGAATTGGCGGCAATCGTATGGGATCTACGTGAAAGCATGTGGCTGATTAGAGGTGCACGGGTAACAGTGCGAACGGATTCACATGCGAGTATGTTACGGTTGAATGACGGAACTTCGTGGGTGCGCGAAAAGGATTCCCGCGTGTTGCAAATGTTTGGGTGGATTTTAGGCAACTTTGCACTGGGGAGCCATTGGACATTTGAATTTGTGCCTGGCAATTTGAACCACATTGCTGACATACTTTCACGATGGGGTGAGTGGCAATGTAGGAAGTTGTCCAGTTTGTGCACCATGTAGGTGCCCAATACAGTATGGAGACTATGCCATCGTGGGCACTATGGATTAAAAAAGACATGGTGGCAATACAAACGCCTTGGGCTTTAGGGTGTTTCATATACAACCATAGAAGCCAAATAGAGAAGGTGCCTAGCGTGTCAAGCCTTCCGTCGACGAGCCTATTCAGACCCGTTGGGACACATTGTTGAAGTTACAAAGCAAGGGGAGCTGTTGTCGATAGACTTCATCGGGCCTCTTCAGCGGACAAGCCAAGGTCATCGATACATAGCAGTGGTGATAAATCATCTCACAAGGGTATGCGCTGCTCAGAGCTGCAAGACATGTCGAGCTGGAGATTTGATTTAAGCAATGCAGACATGGGTGAATACGAGAGGAGTACCGAGTCGACTGATGTGTGATCATGGAGCGGCGATGATTTTGTTTGATTTTGCCAATTGGTGCATGTCTCATCAAATTCAGCGGATCTTGACTGTGCCATATATGCACAAGTCCAATGGGCTTAATGAACGTGTTCATGGGATGCTTGAAGGGCGTATTAAACGAATCATGTATGCCGAAGGGATTACAGATTGGTCTGATGTGCTTGATGAATCGGTGGCAGTAGTGAATGACACCATTCACGACATCATTGGTTTTGTTCCCAACGAATTATGGACTGGATCAGCGATGCAGTGGACACAAGCAAAGCAACGCACTCAAGAAGCCAGAAAGCGAGCGAATGCAAGACTAGAGTCCAAGCGAGTGACCCAAAACTATCACGTGGGACAGAGGATATGGGCATATGATTTTGCCAGGGAAGAGCGAACACACAGATAAATTTGCCCACGCTATGGATGGGTCCGTGGACTTTAGAAAGTCGCGTAAGTAGGACGGTTTGGAAGGCGCGCACACATCGCAACCAGGTGCGATTGGTGCATACTGATGGTATCCAACCGTACGTCCCAGGGTGAGGTACCCCTACGTTAGGGGGAGAAGCAGGCATTAGTTATGGATGGGTCCAGCAATTTTTGTGTTCAGTTTAGATGTGTTCCCGAATGATCGGGATGATATGTGATGTGCTATGGTGTGATACGTGATGTGTTGTTGTGTGATACATGATGTGTTGCTGTGTGATACGTGATGTGTTTGCATAGTGTGAGAACGCATGATGTGTGTTGGTTCCTCCAAGTCACTTTGTGAATGCGAGGCTGGGTATGTGTGAGACCATTAAGGGAGTCATTTTTCTACATATGGGTAAAGCAGTGGAAGCGTGTGACAGTAATGATACAGTAATGGTACGATGTGAGGTGATGTGATATGAAAGGGGGGGTGATGGGACACCATCGGACGCGTGGGGCCCCGGGATATGGGCGCATGGCGCCGCATCTGTAACAACTTTTTGTTCCTGTCCATTGATCGCACGCCGTGCGGGCGTTGGCGCAACAACGGCAATGAATCTTCGCGTCATTAACAAGGGAATTTGTAATAAGGGAATTTGTAATAATGGGCTGGAATGAGCCATGTGAGTGCCCCTGATCGACCACGGGCGCCCTGCGGCCCATCTGTGTCGCAGCCCCGCAGCGGGGTTCGCTTTTGGTATCGGGAGGCAGGCGAACGTCCTGGAGGCGACGCAGTGAGCCCTCGCGCCAAGTCGCGTGGCCCCGGCTTTGCAGCATGTCGGAGGAGCAGGGAACGGCGGCAGAGGGCGTCGCGGCGGGGGCCGACCCTCCCCCGGTCGACGACACGAAGCAAGCGGCACAGGCGGACAAGGAGGGGCCAGAGGAGGAGAAGAAGGCGGGTGGACCGCCTGGCGGGGCGGAAAGGAGAGCCGCGAAGGCCGCAGCGCCGGAAGGGCGATTGAAACCACCCACGAAGCACGAATATTCGGATGCGCGTCAGCGGGCCGCAGGGGGAAGGGAAACCCCCGTCGGAAGGGGCCCATCACAGGGGGCAGGCGGTCGGGCCCAAGGATCAAAGCTGCCGGGCGCTTCCCGCGACGTCGCCCCGCCACCCACGCCGGCCCAGAAGGCAAAGTCGGCTGATGAGAGGGCGGGGGTGAGCGCTGGCAATGGCGTCGACAAGGCTGAGAAACCTAAGGGGCAGGAGAAGCCCGTCGAGAAGCCCATCGAGGGCGACAAGTCGCCGGCGAACCCGTTGCAGCCCCAGAAGGGGATGGCGGGGGGCCTGGCGGCCGGTGGGAAGGCGGAGGCGGACGCGAAGCGAGAAGCGCCTGCCGACGTGCGGGAGCAGCCCGCGAGTTCTGGCCACACGCGGGTTCCCGGCGCGGCGCCGCCGGCGGCCCGGTCTAACGAACGGCCGGCGGACGCTCCTAGAGAACCGGGCACTTTATCGCTGAGGGAAGAAGTGCCTGGACGTACAGTGGACAGGACCGACGATACAGCTGCGGACGTCCCCAAAGCGGCGGTCGCGCCCCAGAAAGCAGCGGAGTTGGCCGAGGCCGCGGCGAGGGATTCTCCGATCGGCGAGACGGCCGCACCACCGGCAGAGGGCGAATCCGCGGACTCGATTGACAGCGGCGCCGCGCGGAAAGAGGAGCCCGTCGGGGGCATGAGTCAGCGGCGGGACGTGAGCGCGGCGCCCACGGCGTCGGCCCCCGCCATGCAGCCGCGGGGGATCGCCTCCTTTCCGGTGGCCATCCAGCAGACGGAGGATCAAGGCGCCGCCCCCGCGGAGGGGCGGCCCGAGGCCGGGATGGGCGGAGACGTCAAGGTCGGGGGCGAGGAGGCGGAGCCGGCGGCCAGGGCGCCGTCCGTCCCAGCGGTGGCACAGGACGGCAAGGGATCGAGCGCGGGAGGGGATGGGCCCAAGGTCGAGGTGCGAGGGGGCGCAGCGGGCTCTGCCAATGGGGCGCCCACGGACGCGGCAGCCAAAGGGGGCCCGAAGGAGCGGCGTGAGGGAGGGGCTGCTCCCGTGGGCGCCCCCACCGGGTTTCAGGAGGTGGGCGCGGGAGAAGCTGATCCGCACAGCGACAGCGTGGAGGTGGTGGAGGAGGTGGTGCTCATTCCCACCTTCGGATCGGGCATGACGAGGGATGAGGTGGAGGAGCTGAACGAGGAGTTCATCGAGCTGCTGACGGAGCTGGGGATAGATGCCCACAAGTATTTCGCGAGGTACTGCGCCCCGGAGGCGATTCGGTTCGGTGGCAGCGGGCGCCCGCTGTAATGAGGACGGCTCCGCTGCCGCACAGTTTCGGACACGAACGGCAGCCTCTCCGTTGACAGCTGCACAGGCGGCGATCCCACGTTGCCTTGGCCGAACGATTCGGACTACAGAGCCCTGTCGAAGGAAGTGATACACATCGAGTTCGTTCACAAAGTTGTATGCAGCACTCGTGATTCAGCCTTTCACAAATATGCTTGCACGAGCTGCGTACCCACTTCGTTGGTCAAAGCAGAACTCTTAACTGCAACTGTGCGATCTGTGACCTGAAGACAACGATGCAGATCTTGAGATTCAGCACGCTATTCGTGGATCCATCAGTTTTCATACTCCCAGACGTGTTGTTCCATTGTTCTCCCAGACCAAAACGTCCTTGGTGTTTCCTCAAGCCAATACCTCAGAGCGCAATGGTCCATGGACGTTTTATCTTTTGTTCGAAAGAACCAAAGAATGACATCACATTTATTTCGTTTGGGAGTCCAGCAAATGCTTTCTCCTTTCTGTTGGAGGCATTTAGGTCGCAAAATGTGAGAGTGTTGCTGGCCGCAGTCCTGTTCTGCTATGATGAGGCAATATGGGGACAAGCATCGATTTTGGGGCCCTCACTGCCATGCTACTGAATTGCGCTCAGGGGCTTGGACGAATTTAACTCCCCTGCAGACTTCTATGAAGAACTCAGTCGCAGGCTTGACGAAGATGATGAAGAAGTGGACATTACGGAGACCTTGGCCACGAGACTCGGGGATGACCACCCTCTGGTTGTGGAGCTGCAGCGGCAGGAGGCCCTTGAAGATGTGCGCAAGATGGATGTGCATCTGAAGGAGAGCCTGGGTGCAGGCAAATCAAAAAAAATATTTGTAAAGTGAGTGTCTGAATCCATGGCTGTGTTTTACATACCATTGGCCATCCTTGTGCGACTTTCTATCAAGCACTGTGCACTATGCTTGTGCTACCAGATGCGCAGTTTTGAATGCTGTGCTTTTGTGTATTTAGTCTTAGTGGACTGAGTGCATTAACAGTGGGGAAATAACATTTGTAAGGTATTTGTGGGCGTCAGATATTTGTGACAACCACAACAGGACCAAAACAGTGGCTTGGTGTGTGTATAATGTGTGGATGGTTTGCAACAACCAGGTGCATGGTTCGGCCAATGGGTCATTCCATGGATATGGTGGCGCCGATGGTGTTTGCAGCACAATTAATTGCCTGTCAACTGAACACAGATGGGGAAATCAGTGGCATTGGTCCTCTTCTTAAGGACACCCCAGTGCACACAACGGATTTGGTGTGTCAATACCTGGTGCATTGCTGGCTGTCTGTTGCCTTGTGGTTGGATTGTGAAGGATCGCCTGGACTCTATTCACAGGAGTGCGGATGAGTTTCGTACACCCCTGGAGTACTACATATTCCTTCAAGAGCGTACCAAGAAGCAGGGGCTGAGCTTAGTGCCACTGATGGAGGACTTGCTTGGAACAGAACACCCATTGCCCAGGGCGCTCGCTGGTAGGTTCAGTGTTGCCAGATCAGGTATTGGTCAATGGTCTTTCCCCTCCTTGCTTCAATTTGCTCTTGCTTCAGTTTTGCAGCTGCAAAGGCAGGTTCGGGATATTGGGTTGCTGCTATCAATACATGTGTGCTTGTTGATTGGCATAGTTGCTGCGAAGTGTGCCCTTCAGCATTGTCAAAGCCCTTGTTGGCAATTTTGGTCAATAGGATGGGTTTCTCAGTACGCTCATCAATATTTGTCCATTGAACCCGGCAAACAGTGTCCACAGAAATGGAAGACCAAACCCGGGTGCAGCCTGAAAAGCACAACATTGGATTCCTGTTTCGGTTGTCGTTTTCTTGCAAAGTTGAAAATTGGATGACAGTGTGGTATAGAATGAGAATGTGACACAAGACGTTCGTGACTCGAATCCGTGCCCACTGCCAGGCACCCTCACCATGGTGACCCACTTTGTGGAGCAAAGTATGGAAAAGACTCTCTTGTTGACCTGTCAATGGCAGGTGTAGCATTTGCAGCATGGACTCAGCATTCTCTGATCAGGAGCTGTCGCACTGTTTTGTTCAGACTTATTGTGGTGCTGTACATGCTACCTTGTGGTGCTGTCCCCCTCTTATTGGATCAGAATCTTCTTTGTTTTTCTGGTATATCAATCAATCGCAAAAGATACAAAGGAACATTGTGGGCACCAACCACATTATGAATGGGCAAGCGCCTTCATTTGCACAGGCTGTAGACTCACATATTGAGTGAGGAGTTGCCACCAACGCAACTGCAGAATGTGCACTGTTGCACTGCAGATTCATGCGGGAGCAGACAAAGTTGAGATGCCCTCACATTGCTGCTTGTCTGATGTTTTCTTGTTATGCTGATCTGAAGGGGATATGCCCAAAACGGCGATAAAATGGCAGTCCTGGAAGAAATCTAAAACGCTAAAGATCCGAGAGGCATCATTGGTGAAGCCCGCAAAGGCAGAAGAACCCGTGGAGACAGAACATTTTGGATGCATGGATTGCATTGTCTACTGGTTTGGCTTGAAGTGATGTAGCAATGCTGATGTCCAATGGTTTCTCAGTGGCAGCAAATACAACTGGTTTGTGGCTTTCCAACACACATTCGGCCAACTGCACATTGCTACTGGTTGGCACACATTTCAGCCAAAGCTGGGGCGCTGGCACATGCTATTTGTGGTTTTCTTGGATTTGCCATCAGGAATACACAAGGTACTTATCTACCGACATGGCATATGTCCAGTTCAGGTTTGGTTGGTGTTGACGGGGGCCAGTTGAGGGTAATGTGCTTGGGAGTGGATTTTGACTCTTAGTTTAACACACATTCCACCATTCTTATAGTCCTTCGAATTTGTTAGCCCAAGTCCGCGTCATGCAATTCGATGTGTATTTCGTTGTCCGTATTTTGTTGTTTGTTGTGTAAGCAACGCGATTCTGGCGCTTAGTGATGTCTTGATGTGCACCGCCTGTCGCGTCCTGGGGCTTGAAGGCCATGCTAGGAGCACGGCTTCAATGCCAGTGATGTTGTTGCCTTCGCACCCGTGCATTCTGGTCACGTTCGCTCCCTATCGATGGCACATTGGTCCAAAAGACAGTATGCCGGCTAGATCAGTACGTAGTTGATGCATCGTAATGCAAGAGATAACGCTCTATCACACCCGTATGATGTTACACATACCCGGTATGTGTTGCTGCAGTTAATTAAACCACGAAAATCGATTGTGCCTCGCCCCTATGCTGGCGGCGCGACCAAAGAACAACAATACGAATGAGGCAAGGGTGTTCGCCCCCTTGCACAGATCGCTCTGCGGAAAAGCCGATTCGATCCCAGTGCAAACAGTCTGCTGGCCTTTGACACGCAGGCGTGAACAACTCATTGGCTCCTGATAAGAGCACCAGCGAAATGACACAGATTCTCTGGACGATTGGGACAAATTGTGGACAGTGGATATGCGCACTTGCAAATGCCAACAAGGAGCTTCCAACGGGTCCAACGACTGTCTGTTGAACTCCACCCGCGTGCAGCAAAAGGACATTGTGGCACTGTACGCATCACCACCAATAGCCGTTGCAACTCGTGCAGATCAAATACCCCTAAACAGATCATGCTAGTCAGCATTGGTCCTAAAAATATTGTGGTAAGCACGGGAGTTCACTTTGTTGTTGCTCCCATCCTGTTCCATTCCTTGCAGGGTGTCCCATATCTGCATTTTGACGCGTCACTGTTTCCAAACCCTGGTCAGGCAGCCAGCTTATCTGCATAGCATCTAGCAGGAATGTGGTACTTCTTTACAGCAATAATGGGCTTTTTCCTGGCAAATACGGATTAATCGACAACATGTACCATTGCCAATACAGTGACGTCACAAAGGCACGGCAGATTCCGTGGTGTTCAGTCATTCTTCCAAAACTGGACAACAACAAAGAGCGAGCTCCAGAATTAGCACAAATGGGACGATGAAGATAGAGGATTACCGGAGATGATGGACAACTTGGACTCAGCGCATATGCCATGGATACATATGGTTACGTGCGGTCCACATCATGAACACGCATGCACATACAGCCTGAATTCCTGTGCTTCAGCGAACGGAAGAGAATGGGTGCATCAGTGATGGTTTGGTAGTCATGTGACAGAACGGAATTACCATCGGCCCTCCTTTTAGTCTGACACGCAAATTGCATTGTCCTTTCCTAGACTAATTGCACATTCGATGTGGCCTAATCAGATATTGAATCACAGGGCTGGGAGGCTCTAAATCTAACAGTAAAATGTTGAAATATACTTGTAGCACTATGTAATGTGTTCCTTGTGCTACATGCTTCATAATGCTGTTGATGACGATGTGTTAGGGAATTCCTGCAAGACCGGTGAATATTTCTTTCTGCGACAATGGACTGTTCCACACTTTTTTGCGACAATGCCAAACTACTCGTTTTCCTGACATTGGGCTGTTCTCTTTTGCAACAGTGGTTGGGACTGTTCGTTTCTGCAACAGTGGCCCTGTTGTCATTTTCTGCAACGGTGGCTGTGGCTAATGTGTGACTCGGCCAGCCAAGCGCCAGGAATCAGCCGCCAGCCAGCCTTGACCTTTGCGCTGTGCAGCCCGTCCGCCATACAGGGATCCCTTTCCCACGTCAAGACACCTCTTCCATGGGCTGTTGGTGAGTGGGCCACGTCCGCGGCAGCCCAGGCAGTTGTAGGTGCTGGCCAGGTGGATGCCGGCCGCTGGCGGGCCACCCACACACGCCAAGACATGCACGGGGGGTTCAGCCGGCCAACCTGCGAGGCCTAACCCAAAGGTTGGGCGCAAAAGATGCCACAGAATGGCGGGAGTGTGGGGCTGAAAGTTGCCTCCCACTCCTGCGCTAGTGCTCCTCGCGCGTTCACCGATTGGTGCCACCTGCAGGTGCCCTGATCTAGTGCCCTGATCGGCACCCGCGAGTGGCATCAATCGGCACCCACAGGGGGCGACTGCGTACTGCCAGCTACAGCTTGTTTTGTGCCCAACGCTTGGGCGCAGAACACACCAAAAATTGGCAAGAATGTGAGGCCGAACATCGCCTCCCACTCCTACCATTTTCGCCCCTCATGGCCATAGACTGGTGCCACATGTGGGTGCCTATATTAGCCCCTGCGGGTGGCATGATTCGTCGCCCACGAGGGGCAGATACCAAAGGTCAACTGCGACTTAAGTGGCACCCATAGCGTGGGCGCAAAACACGCCATGGGACGGCGAGAGGGGGATGCTACTCGTCGCCTTCCACTACCACCATTCTTTCCCATCGTGCCCGCTGATTGGTGCCAGCAGCAGGTGTCCTGATCAGCGCCAGCGAGTGCCACAATTCGGCGCCGGCAAGGAGCGAGAGTGGACACCAGGCTTTGTAGAACATAGACGGAGATTCGCCACAGACCTCTGGCCTCCCCGGGGAGACCCACTGCCCGGGCCCATTGACGGATGCACTGTCCGTCCATCCATGATTTACCAAGCCCCCGAGAACGATGGGCGAATTCAGCCCCTTGGGGTAATTCGCGCTCTGTCTGTCCACAAATTACGGAACCGACTGCCTCATTACCTTTGTGGGCAACACCCAATCCTTGCCGGGCCATAGGTTATTCGCCATGGCATCAATTTTGACCTCGCTTTTGCATTGTGCATGGTGGGTTCGCCTGCCGTGCTTCCCATATTGTGGCTGCCTGTGGCTCGTGAAGCATCGCAGCGGGCAGGCCCGCATTTCACTCGTCAGCGTGCAGCCCAAGGGGCGGGCGTCGTCTGCCGGGCGCTCGCTGGGCGACCTGCAGGCCACACGTTATTCAGGGCTATTGTCGGGAAAAAGAACAATTGCCCCACTATCATAGACGCCTGCCGGGCGACCTGCAGGTCACACATTAGCCAGGGCCACAATCGTGAAAAAGAACAACCGCCCACTATTGCAAAACTGATCAATATCGGTATTGTCGCAGAAATGAACGCTGTGGCAACAACGAGCTTATTGTCGCAAAACAGAACATAATGCAAAAAAAACAATTTCACTATTGCTAAAAATAGTGACCAACCTTCACCATGGTTCAATTCTAATGAAGCATGACAATGAAAAAATAGCTCAATAAAGACTTACAAAGTGCTCTTGTCAGTGAGCCTGCCCCAGCGTTCACTTCAGTACTAGAGTTGTAGAATACTTTATTGTAATGAATTTCTAATTATCACCTATTGTATGGCCATTATGTGTGACTGGTGTCTATGCAGCGGTTAAGTCATAGCCATGTGTCCTCTCTCATTCAACGGAGATAACCAATCTAGAGGCCATAGTTGAAAGCACTCAGAGACAAGAAACAACCAATATAGATTCTAGCCAAAACAGGGCAAACCACTTGGTATTAAACCGCACAAAAAATTGGGCTAGAAGGCAAATCAAAAGTAGTTATGGGCAAGGCACCAGGTCACTATTTTTTGCCACAATGAAATTGTTCTCTTTTGCGATATGTTCTTGTTTGTGACAATATCGCTCATTATTGCCACAACGTTATTCATTTTTATAGCAATGCTTGAACTATTCTTTTTTGTGATAGTGGGCGGATATTCCTTTTTATAATACTGGCCCTAGCTAACATATGACCTGTAGGTCGCCCACCCCTTGGGCTGCATGCTGACGAGTTAAATGGGGCCCACCCACCATGAGGCTCCACAAGCCGTAGGTGGACACAATATGGGAAGCACAATAGGCAGCCCACCATGCACGGCACAAAAGCAAGGTCAAAACAAAGGCTGTGGCAAATGGCCTGTGGCCCAGAAGGGATCGGGTGTCACCCACAAAGGCAAAGAGGCCGGAAAGGGGGAGGGGAGGGAAGTGGGAGGTGGGGGTTGGGAGGCGGGCATGTGGTAGTTGGTTCGATAATTTATGGATAGATGGATAGAGTGCAAATCGCCCCAAGGAGCTGAATTTTGTCCATCCTTTTGGTGACTAGGCAATTCATGGATGGACAGGTGGTGCATTTGTCAAAGGGCTAGGGCAGTGGGTTTCCTTGGGTAGGCCACATGTCCACAACAAAACTCCGTTTATGATCTACAAAGCCTATTGCCAACTTTGGCTCCTTGCAAGCGCCGAATGACAGCACTCGCCTGTGCCAATCGGTACACCCATTGCTGGCACCAATCTGTGGCCACGAGGGAAAAGAATGGTGGCAATGGAAGGTGATGAGGAGCATCCCTCTCTCGCCATCCAATAGCACCTTTTGCGCCCATGCTATGGGTGTTGCATAGGTTATAATTGACCTTTGGTATCCACCGTTTGTGGGCGCCAAATCATACCACTTATAGGTGCTAATTTAAGCACCCACATGTGGCATAAGTTTATGGCCATGAGGCATGAAAATGGTAGGAGTAGGATGCAACGTCTGGCCTTGCACTCTTACTATTTTGTGGTGTGTTTGCGCCCAAGAGTTGGGCACAAAATAGACCATAGTAGATAGTATGTAGTCGCCCATTGTGAGTGCCAATTGATGCCACTCAAGGGTGCCGATCAGCACACCC